ATTATATAAAGAACCAGCGACATCTGATGAATAACTGCATCTTCATAAAGGGAATGTACAACTTGTGTCAATGGCTTTTTCGTGTATGTAGCTGACAGTGTATGTAGATTATCTCAACCTATCATTGTTGTCATTACGAGCGGTGCATGTCGTGTAGAAGCACCAAATTTTTTTCTAAATTATTCACATTTTGAATTTTTTTTTGTTTTTTTTTTCAGATGTCTGAACATGACACTGGTTCATCAGATGATGAAGAACGTATTAATGAAATAACAACAGTTAAAAAGAAAAAAGGAAATGTTGTTTATCAACGTGCTAGTCGTCCAACAACTTACGATGATGATGATGATGATGATGACGATGAAGATGAGTTTAATAGACAAATTCGTTTAGAAGAAACAAAAAAATTACAAAATGAAGCAGAAAAAACAAAAACACGAGTTGATCCTGATGGAACCGTTTACGAATGGGATCCAAATGTAAAAGGATGGTAAGTTTAATAGATTTCTATTTTTCTTATTGTTTTTTTGTTTTATTTAGGTTTCCAAAAGTAATTTTAAGATTTCTTTTTTAAATTTAATGTCTTTTGAAAAAAAAAAACTTTATTTTCAAAGGTATCAGAAGAATTTTTAGTCGAACATCATATGAATTATGGTCTTGAATCTTCATCAGGTATACGATATGATGTTCATCATCAAACATATATTCAAGAACGTGATGGTATGACATATAAATTAGATAAAGATACACAACAATGGATTCCATCACAATCATATACTGATGAAGCAAATAATATTAAATATACATTTTCACAAAAACATAATACATGGATACCTGATGTTAGTATTTATTCAACGAATGATCCAGAAGGAAAACAACAAACATATGTTTGGTTAAATGATCAACTTAAATGGGCACTTTTATCAACTGTTGATGCTTATACAGATCATATAACAAGAATTAAATATAAATGGAATAATCAAACAAATAGTTGGGATAATGAAGGTATTGAACCTATTGAAGATGAACATGATCTACCAAAAGAAAAAAAAACAATAGTTCCACCACCAACACAAGATGAAAAGAAAAAACCAACTGAAGGTTTGTTTTGTGAAACATGATCTAAAACGAATGTTGAATTATAGACCTACAGACTATGACAGACACCTTAGTAATACCTCCTTTCCTTACGGACGCAGCTAGAAATGTCTGTACATCTCTCTTGAAAAACTCATAGTTACGCCTCTGTCCCCATCTTCGTGCGTCACAAACATTGTTGGTATACGATCAAAGATTGTATAATAAGAATGTTTCGCTTTAATATATTAACTATTTCGTTTTTTCATTTCTGGAGGATTGAGTAAAAGAATGTTGAAGAAATATATCTCAAGATAGATTGAATAAAACAAACTCTCGGTGATTAGTCACAACATCTACATTGTGTTTCACATTTTATTCTCGCACGGATTGTCCTAACAGATTTTTTTAATTTATAAGTTAAATTAAACGAAAAAATTTAATAATTAACAGTCATTTAAGACGATGGTTGTTTTATTCGAATTTACAATTATTTATTTATTTTTAATCTATATTTGAAATATCCTAATCTTATTTTTCTTTATTATTTCGATAAGGAGAGCTTGTGCATAAATGTAAGGTCAAGTAAC